AGATGTGTATAAGCGCCAGGGCGAATACAAAGCATTATCATTACATCGGCTAGGGCTTGTTTATCGGGTATATTTGACACAACATATGAATCCAGTCTTTCCTTAACCGATTCTAATGAGAAGTGGTCTGGATAATAGATCCCTTCATTCTCACGTAACAATCTATTCTCCTTTTGAATTTTATTAGCCGAACAAGTTATGTCTGGAATAAATGTAGCCGAGATAATTTTTTTTGAGGCTCCGAGGGCTTTCAGTTCTCTTCGAAGTCTAGTGAGGCGTGATAGGCCAGCGCTGGCATTAGAGGCCGTTCCAGATAAGGCCTTGGCTATAACTTCTACCTCTTTTTCGCTAATATTATCTCGGATAATACGTTCGGCCAAATCTCTAATAGTCTCTTTCGGTGAAATTTGACACATATTCACTGTCCCCTCTTTTGGTTCTACTTCCTGAGTGGTATCAGGAGTATTGGATACGGCTCCTTCTTTTTTCTGACCAGCCGTCTGCTTAGGAATTAATGCAAATACCTGTTTTTCGCTAAAGTTATATCCTTTCTTGAAACGACGTCGTGCCTGATCCCTCTTAGTTTTATCTGTCAAAAGGATGTCTAACGCCAGTGCGTGTCGACTGAGCTCTTCGATACTCATCTCGTTATTGAACTCGTTTTCTGTTACATATCTAGTAGCGATGCCAGCCATGTTATTATTTGGTAATATGTAGGATATTTGGTTATACCTAGGTTGTTTGGTATATACTATGCGGAGAAAGTTCAATTCGAAAAAATAAATAATTATTCTGACATCCATGGTCGGTAGGCAAAAAGAATATTATAACTTATTGCGGGCTCTCTATGAGGTCACAAGCTCCGGCCAGAATATCTTTTATATATATATTTGAAAATTGCGGGTAGATAGGATATGCGAAAAAAATAATAATAATTTGGGATTTTATATCGCCTAATTGTAAAGAACGAAAGTCCCATCCCTACTAATATTTCATAACCCACTCTTATTCGCTCTTTACCAAAGCATACCATTCTCCGCGCTTGCGCTGAGTATGCTTATATTTTTTGTCATTTCTTGTCGATATCAAACCTACCATAGGTGACCGTTCTTTTGAAGTATGCTAATACCCTTTTGCCACTCCTCATCGTCATAAACATATGTCCGGAGCTTACCTGCATTCTCGAAGTTGCGGAGATATATTTCTTCACTTATTAGCCTTTCTCTCCTAGACATATAAAATATATCGTTTACATTCATACCGTCTTCTTTCTCGAAATCGATGGCATCTGCGTCCGACATCATTCTGTCCCTATATTCATGAGATAGTCTGATATCTTTTTCTGTGATGGTCACGAATACGTCTGGATCTTCGCCATGATCGATAGCCCATTTCCTGAGACACTCTTCTCGCTCTTGTCTAGCCAGAAGTATGGTAGATGATACTTCGTTACTAGATTTAATAGATTTGGGTGACTTACAAGTCTCTGGTTCATCGATTACTGGTTCAGGTCTTTTAGAAGTCTCGGATGTACCAGATGTTGGGGCGACCAGAGCACGTGTATCTTCTGCCATATAGTCGAAAAGTGCCTGAGTCGAATCATCCTGATTACTGGCCTTCTTATCTTTACTGGTATTAGGTGAAAGCTTATTCTTTCTATCGGCTACTCTGTTATGGCGCTCTGGCTGAGGTGGGATTATTTTCTGTGGAATAGTTGGTCCCTCTAGGACCGTTTCTGGCACATTGAATATGGGTATGTCTGTAGTCTCATTTTCGGGCAAGTCGTCTTGAGGTATATCGGAAAATTCTTCCATATCACTTAGGCCAGATTCACAGAGCTTGGCTACGATCTTGGAGCGGTCAAGTATATATTGCCATTCCCTTTTTCCGCCACCTGTTCGCGCTTGTTTGCTCTCAATACCAATATCTGAAAATTTCTTCCCGGTAATGTTATTAGAAAATGGCTTTTCACCATTCTCTCCACACCATTCAAGATACTTCTGATATAATAATGTACGACTTGGACTGGCTATTTTAACCCCACACCATGAAGAAATATAGTCAATTATAAATCGGATGGGATTAGGTAATTGGTCTCGCATTGTTTTTATCTTCATTTTAGTTACAGGAATTTCTTGTGGTTCAAAGTCTGAGAGGTCGCGACTAAGAAGATATCTCATGACTACTCCTGGTGCATCGGGATAGTCAAGAACTTTTCCTAGTCGCTTAAAATATACTGTATTTCCTCTACATCGTGAAGATACATCAAAACAGACTACACGAGAATCCCCTATATCTATTTTGAGCGGAGCATCCTGGTTGCTTGTAACCATAAATCTGGTGAAATCTCTAATTCGCTTTGTTTCAATACCCTTACGCTCTATAGACACCATTCCTTCCGTTATAAGGGATTTAAGATGTCCGTTAAATTTATGCCATTCCCCACTAGACATTTCAGTCTCGTTCATAACAATAAGTTTTCGAGCTTGAATAGCACTATTAAATCGCCCAAGAATTTTCTCCAAATCCGATGTAGCATAATGGAGATGTCCCCCTAGGACTTTGTCACCAATAAAGTCAGTGATAATATTTTTTCCACACTGCTGTAGTGTAGACTTTAAGACTAAGATTGACCGAGGCTTTTTTTCTGGCTTCTGCACTAAATATGCCCACCAATTCCAAAGATATTCATGAAGCTCCACATTTTCATTACTGATTATATTCTTCGTATGCCAGAGAATAGGATCCATGATTTCGGGATTAATTTCCACCGCTGGCTTAGCCAAAAATCCTATGAAAAGGTTAAAGAACTTTGTATTGGGAACTGGACTATTCAGCAGATACGGTAGAAAATTAATATTGTGGTAAAGGATTAGACCTTTGGTAACCGCCCGATCTATTAAGTTAATTAACTTCACCCCCTCCCCACCTAGCTCAAGCAAGTTAACTTCATACTTGGCAAGATCTAGCTTTGGCGCCATATCAAAATAGAGTCCACCATTCGTATCCTCTATTTTGAGCACCCATAATCTTGATGTTGTTTGAATACAGGCGACCGTTGCCTGTATTGCTTCATAAACTTCATTACGAGAAAATTTTCGCCCAGAGGTGCTCATATCAATTAAATCTCCCCATACGAAACGGTCATTTGGGTCAGAAATTCTGGATCGGTCTAGTTTTGTAGGACTTGGGAACTTTTGTTCTCGATCCAAGGCAGTTTCACTAATAGTAAGCTTTTTCGAAGGTTTTCTAGAGCCGGGTTCCCTATCATTGTTTGCCCGGTAGCAGAAAAAGCTGTAGGATTTTTTATTTCGAATAATATATCCATGATCACTATCATGTTCTCGGTCACATATTGGGCAGTGCGATGGGGAGATGCGTGATAGTGGAAATTTGTTAGGAAAATTTTCAGATGGATATGAGAGACTATACCCTTCGATGCTAGCTTCTTGAAGTAATGTCTCTACTAGTTCGAATTCAGCATCGGTGATAACATTATTTGTGCTAGGATATCCCTCCATTTTTGCTTTCAGAACAACCAAGAGAGGACTGTTCTTGATGACTTCTGATTCATCATTGGGTGGGCGAATCATGAAGTCAAAGATTGTTCCATCTTTGGGACAAATAGCTTTTTTCACACGAATATGTTCTCCAGTTTTTTCATTGTATTTGGGTGATCCAAGCATCCGCAAGGAGAATGAACATTTGTTTGCTATGTTATCGATAATGCTATTTCCTTGTAGAGCTGTCGGAAGTTTTTTACGAATAAGCTCAGTGAACATCGCGACCTGAGCAATATTCGGAAGTCTCATGCCAAAGGTTGAAACATGGAGAGATATTTTTTTCTCATCACTACTTTCGGCAATAGTTAAAGTTTCTTTATCCCATTCTGGGAATATTTCTAGGCAAGTATCTCTAAAGGCACAACAAAGTGAATTTTTCGCCTGACCGCCTGAAAGCTTGGGAGTTATAGCATTTAATGTTTCTATTGGCAAATCAAAGTCTATAACAGGACGGAGTGGCTCATCTCCATCAATAATTTCGTGTAAGGAGTGGTCCTCACGCTCTGTTAGTATAGCTTCTATTTCATCCGCATTGTCTGCACCAAGGAAATGCCTTGGTTTAACACTATCATCTCGAATTTTATATAGAGATGCACCTATATCAGAGGCTCTGTATCCTTGATAGTACAGGGCGGAGGCGTCGAAGAACTCTGAAAGCGAGGATTGTTCGGTCATAATATTATATCGCAAATATACAGTTCGAGAGAAACTATATACTCTGGGAGAAAAAAGTTTAAAATGAAAATTAATTCTGAACTATATAGATCGATACATAAATCAACAATCCATAGTTATTAAAAATGGTATTTTATCGATGTACTTATATCCACAGGAGTGGTAAGATTTGCAATCGAGGATGCTACCATCCGGAAGGATGTTTTATTCATCGCAATTCTCCTTCTCAGGTATTTTGCAAAGAATGTGTAAAATTATCTTATTCCGGATATGGATATTGCGATGATCATGCTAGAAAGCACCGTAAAAGGGAACAATACCATCGGAAAAGGATTGTAGACTTAGCTTCGGCGGAGATACTGGTAGGTAATTTAGAGGTAAACGAAAATGATACAACTTGTCACTAGAAAAAAAACTTGTGACAGAAGCTTGTGACGCAGATGATATGCTCTTTAGGAATTCTAGGCCGAAAGAAAGTTTTCTTGATGAGTGTCACAGGTGGCATAGACGTCACTGGAAAAATCGGCCAAATCCTAACTTTTTTTTATTTTTTATAGCATATATACACCACATATATATCATACATATACTATATCACGATACATATATAGCATTAGGATAGCATAGAAAATTTTTGATTTTTTTCCTAGAATTTATTACTCTTTTACTTGTGACACTAGTGACAGTAATCAAGAAAGAAATAAAATAGCCTAATAATCTCAAAAAGCATAATGAACATGTCACAGGTTGCGTCACAGGTTAGTATATGAAACTTATGACACTAGTGACGCTCAAAAAATAGCATACAAATGACATACAAATAGCATACATATGTAGCATAGGAAAAGTTTCGAATTTTTTCCTACAACTTTACTTTTACTAGGGACACTAGGGACACTAGGATATAGTATATAAGAACAAGTTAGATCAAAGAAAGAAGCTTTTCTCTCATATCAAAACCCGTCCTAGTTCCCGTCCTAGTTGACCCAATAACTTAGACAACTAGGACGGAATTTTTAGAACGAAATCCATCTCAAAAATATGTTTACATATTGCACCTCCAATTCTTTACTAACCAACCATCTGCCAGACTGGAGCTAGGAAGATTTCAGAAATATATGGATACAAAAATATGTGATACAAATGCATATATATTGGATTCCAGAAATGTTCCAGAAATGTTCCCGTTACTAGCCCGTAACTATGAATGGCTGTTCTGGTGATGGAATAGTATCACGTGTCTGGCGCAGTACCGGCCAGCATTATTCCATAATTTCGGTCAGAACTTTGGGTATAATAAGTCGACATCCAAGCTGACATTCCATAACACTTCCATGATGGTTCCTCTCTAGTTCCATGACAGCTTCACAGAAGTTCCAGGACACTATTAAGTCACCATCATGGTACTAAGCTGGATCCTCTAATCACATGCCCAAAAGATCGGCCAAAATTATGATATAGTGCCGGCCAAAATTAATCGCAGATCTACTGCACCACCTAACATGATATTTTTTTACCATATTTCAGCATTTTGATAAATAACAAAATAGGTAAAAAAGAAAAGCACCCTCGAATCCTTAACAGGCAACCAAAGAGGCGCAGAATGGCAAAAACTTCATCATAAAACTTAGAATCCAAATAATTGCAGACAGGCTGGACCTCCAACATAGAATTTAATAACCAATCAACTATAGAACCCCAATAACATAAATTATATTAGAAAACGATTATTGGCACAGAGAACCAAACAAAAATAGGTACATTTCGATTATTTAGTAACAGTAATATTTAGGTTATTTAATCACATGATCACAAATAATAAATGGGAAAAAGCTAAAGAAAAGCGGATTCAAAGGGAAGGAATATAGTAAGAAAAATAACTAGGTATACAAAATTGTCACAAACAGGTTATTTAGTTAGAGTATTTAATCATATTTAGGTTATTAACTTTAGATTATTTAGATATATTTAAATTATTTAGTTATATTTAGATTATTTATAGTCATACTTAGATTATTTAGTTATAATTAGATTATTTATAGTCATACTTAGATTATTTAGTTATAGTTAGATTATTTTATTATTAAATAACCTAGTCTAAGCCGTTTATGACTAAATAATATAATTATATTATTTAGTCATAAACGGCTAAAGCTAATTCTTTGTTTAACATAACATAGGAGGTTCTAATCTAGTAGGAAGAGGGAGAGACAAAAAATAATACATAAAATACAATACATGGCCAGAATTACTATTAATTTTGGCCAAAATTTTGACCAAAAAAGTGAGTAAAAATTTTAAATGATAATTCTGGCTAAGACTTAAAGATTTGTCTAATTTCGGCCTAAATTACATGTACTTTTTTTATATAAAAAATCCAAAAACAGAGGGGAAAGAGTTATATTAAATGAAAAATTAAATTAATATGGCCTTATTTAAAGGATAACATTAATATATAATTATGACAAATTTTATTATTTTATTATGGGCATCTTCTATTTTTATTTAAGAAACAGATATTATTATAAGTTCTTATTTTTTTTTATTAAAAAAAACAGAAGATTTATTATTATATATTAAAATATTTTATTAATAAAAGTATATTATATTTGTGTTTATTTATGATATAATATATATATTAAATCTATTAATAATTTACTTTATATTATTTAATAAATGCAATTTTATTTATTTTACTTAATCAGGAATTGCACAGTCTAAATAGTCACTAATATTTTTTATAGTAAAAGGATTAAGCAATAAAGATGATGTATAAATAGCTTGTGGATGAGTAATTTGTTTATTCCTCTTAAAAAATTTTCTATATTCTTCTGCTACTTTAAAATAATTACGTTGTCCCAATATTGAATTACATGAAGTATAAAATGAACTAATTTCCTTTTCTATTTCAATAGCATTTGGCCTATTATTTGAATTAGAATCCCAACATTTTTTCATTAAGTTAATATAACATTTTGGAGCTTCTGGTTCATTTATTTCAGGTCTAATTTCATTGCATATATCTAATACTAAAAATTCATCATGAGCACGATTAGAAAAAGGTTGTTTTTCTGTTGCTGTAAAATACATAATCATGCCAAAACTATATATATCTGCTGCTTGACTATATGGTTTTCCTCTTAGTACTTCTGGAGCAATATAAGGTATAACTCCATAAATTTTTATTTCATTTGTATTATTTATATTACTAACTTTTCCACATAAACCCATATCTGAAATTAATATATCATTACCAAGATCGCATATATTATCCTTTAAAAATAATATATTTCCTGTATGAAAATCACAATGAACCATTCCTTTTTGATGAATTTCTTTAAGACTATTAATAATATTAAGTAATACATTTAGTTTACATAACCAGTAAAAATTTTTATAGTTTTTATTCATCCATTTATCAAATTTTCCACCTTCTGCATAATCAAGAACTATAATATAATTATTTGTATTTGGTTCTTGAGATATACCATAAATATTAATAATATTACTTTTTTTAGTTATTGAATATTCTCTGACCTATTAAAATTTATTAAAACAATAATAATTACTATTTATTCTTATTTTAAAATAAAATATTAGATTAATTTAATAAAAAATTTCATACCTCATTTAAAAAATCATTTGGTATATTATTTTGTAAGTTATGTAAAAGTTTTAAAGCAACTATTTTGTTTGAATTTCTTGTATACTGTTTTTTATTTTGATTATAATATAATGGACTATCTTTCCATATTCCTGTATACAGTCAACTCCCTCTATAGTCACTCCCGTTATAGTCACATTCTACTATATAGTCACACCAGTTGAATGTTCAAAACACTTTATTATTAAAATCTATCCTATATAGTCACAATCTATCTATAGTCACTATCACACCTATCCTCAAAAATCTTATATTAAAAAGAACCGTTTATAATCACAGTTATATAAAGAATATATTAAATAACTTGGCATCTAATAATCGTACAAAGATGTATCATAGCTTGTTAGAATCGTCTCACTGAGACAAATCGAATGGTGGTAGTTTTATCCTTTTCCTGTGCAAACAGTCTTATGACTTTATTTTATTTATATTTAAACATCGAAAATTCAAACGAACAATATTACAAAAATAAGAAAATAAACTAATAAAATAAAAAGAGTAGCTTCACAATTCATACAAGTAAAGAAATCTAAACTAAAATAAAATTAAAGCAAAGAAAAACTAGACTATTACAGAATCGCATACCCCAACTTTACCCGAAGGCCAGTGTGAGTCAACTATCCAACATCCAAAAATCCAGTCCATTACCAGAAAGAAATCCTAAGAGGTTGAACTGTTAAGCGGCGCAGAAAATCCAAGTGCGAGATCCATGATCCACCCCGAATTATAGAAGAGGATATCCAAGAAATCCAGGAATCCTGAGAAACTGTCGCCAAAGAAGAGTTATGTGTATGTGAAGAAGAAACAATAGGAGAAGAATTTATAGATGGGCCACGTAATTTGGAAGCAGCTGAGATACCCTGCGACTCTTCCCAAGCATGGAAAAGAACATTCCGACATAGCCAAATTTCACCATATAATTCGACTTGGAAGTCATTAAGAAGGGGAGAAATAATCTTGTATATAACAGAGAGAGGAAAGTGTTGATTCAAAAATGCCGTTAAATGCGCAGGCAACAATCCTCGAGTAAGCCAAAGACAGGATGAAGAAGGAGCTTCATAGTTCCAGCAATCCAAAGCAAAGAATTCGGTATGAAAGGAATTATCCAAAGATTTCAAGGATAGGAAAGAAGATAAACAAGAATCTCTAAATTTAATGACTTCAGACCGGTGTGTTAAACAGGGATTTAAATCCGGTAAAATATAAGGACAAGTCCAAAGATGATTCAAATCTTCAGGAGCAGAATTACACTGCGGACAGAGCCAGTCAGGAGAATATAAGTAAGGTTTACGTTGTTGAAGAGTAGTTAAGGTAGGCAACATATCCAAAAGAAGTTTAATGCGGAAGATCCAAAATTCAGGACGACCATTCCTATGTGAAGCAAAACCTTTAATTTGTGAAAGGCAAAAATATATACCAGCCCAATCAAAAAGTGAAGGAGAACCAAGAGCAGTAAAACGCGCTAGTGAACAGAAAGATAAAAGAGCACGAGCATCTGCAATAGAGCGGAGAAAATGTCGAATATTCACGTCAATAGGCAAGGAGTTAAAAGTCAACAAGCATGGAGCATAACAAAATGTTGAAAGTAGAGTAGTGGGTTGTAAAGACGAATGAGCATCTTTTGCCAAAGAATCCGCTTGTATATTGTAGATATCATCGCCATGAGCAGGGACTTTAATCAATTCGACATTAAGATTACGATCCATGATAAGTTGTCGAATAGAAAGCCAAAGAAGATGATTAGGTTCTCGGAGCAACTTCGGTGAGAAAGGAGCATCAACAAACCGTGTCCATAGTGAAATTAACTGACTACAATCAGTATAAATAGAGATTGACGAATCACGGAAAAGGGCGTTCAATCCTAATAGAACAGCAGAAATTTCGGAACGCAAAGCGGAAGGAAAGTAAGAAGGGAGATGCATGGAAGAAGATTCCAGAACAAGTCCAACATCATCAAGAGCAATCCAAGCAGAAGTCATGGAAGAAGGCGAAGAATCATTGGCAGGATGGAACGAACCATCTGTGTACAAAGATTGCACAGAAAGTGGTAAGATAGTGTCTTCAATTCTATCGATTCTATCCTTAAAGAGAGGAGAAAGAGCAGGAGACGCGTTCGAAAAATGAACAAGAGCCAAGGAAGTCGCATAACTCCATGAAGTAGATAGAGTAATGGGAAGGTAAGCCGCGAAAACTTTGGCATTTCTGGTAGGATAGCCCACAGTATCCGATAGGATTACATTAAAAAAGCATTTCTCGCTATTACAGCGTTGTCTGATGGCAGATTTCATGGATAAGGCGGGAATGTTAAGAGCACAACCGGGACAAGGGTCATAGGATCGTTCATCAGCCGAGGTAGATACCGGTAGCCAATGAGACATAATAGCCGAGTTTTGTTTCTTATAAGTGATACACACACGACCAACAGATAAAGTTTGAGTAGCAGAGTCAAGAGTAATAGCCCATTGAGGATAAAAAGAATAATCTTTAACAGTATGATCTAATAAACAAGGAGAAGCTAAAGTAAAAGAAGAATTAATAAAATATGAAGATAAAAGTAAAGTAGAAGAAGAAGAAGAGAGAAAATTATTATTGATAAAAGTAAACCAATTAGGGATCCGTCCTTTACGACCAACGATGCCAAGATAACGAAGGTCAGGCCAATTCATAAGATAACGTCCACAAGGAGAAACCAACTGAGCAAGCACAAATATATTCAAGTTTTTCCAAAGTTTCCAACTCGATTGAAAAATGGAATGAGGTAGAATAGATCGGAGTGGCAGAGCAGGTTGTAGATCATGCCTCGGAGGCCGGAAGGAAAGAGACCACGTGATGTTCAAACGCGAAGAAAACAATAACGAATTAAACAAAGTGTGCGTTCGCAAAGAAACGATCTGTGACCATGGTTCTAAGTTAATAGTAGTCGGGCAACTTTCAGCACCCAAATATCCTTGAAGATAGGAGATAGCATAAAGGGCAAAATCTTTGAAATCAGGATGAGTGAAAATTTTTTGCCAAGATGCAATATGGGAAGAAAGAAAGCGATAGAAAGCATTTTGAATCGAAAAGGGAAGTTTGAGAAATAACAAGGGCAACGGAGTAGTCGTAGCAAGACCAGCTTTTCTTCGAAGTACTGAAAACAGAGGCTTGACAATTGATTGAATAGTACTTTCAGAGAAAAGGGTAGTTTGAAGACGAAATTCCAATCGCGGAAGAAGGACAGCATTATAGAGATAGGCCACATGTTGTGCTAATAATTTCTTCGGTCCCAGGAGAGCTGCCATATCTTTAACCATGGAGCGCGCTTGTTTGAGAACAAAATCAGAAGAGGCGGATAAAGAAAACCAAACGCCTAAAAAGCGAAAGGAAGCATGCAAAGATAAAGAGGAAAGGGAAAGAGACAAATCAGAGACTAAAAAAGAAGGTGTAAGATCAAAAATAATCTTTGAAGAAGGGGAAGAAGATGAAAGAAGAACATATTTAGCTGAATTAGCTTGAACATTATTTAAAGTATAAAATTCAGCAGTAATAGAAAGACGGTCTTCTATTCCAGATTTTGAAGAAGCAATAAGTGTAGAATCATCCATAAACGTTAAATGTGAAATTGGTAAAGAATGTTGTTCAAATTCAAGTGGAGAATAATTTAAAAGAGCTGAAGATTTTAAAATAAAAGGATCTCGTGCTTCTTGATTCAAAACAGTGAGTAAGGGATCCAAATAAATAACCCAAAGAAGAGGGGAAATGATTTCTCCTTGATCGATACCAACACGTACTCTATAAGCAGCTGTATCGCCATGACAAGTAATTATCTTATTATTTCGTCGTGTAAAAAGATTTAAAATAAATCGCACTAAAAGTGCAGGGATATGTAACCTATCTAAAGCTAATTTAAGCATATTTAAATCCATAGAATCAAAAGCTTTAGAGATATCTTGAGAAACGATCCATAGTTCCTGATCATCAGTAGAGTCATGTTTATGTTGATGAATAATCGCATCCAGCATTTTGATAGGGACATCAGTAGAACCACCAGGTAAACCAGCAAAATTACCACCTTGAAGAATTTTATTATCAGCAAGGATGTTGGAAAGACGATTCGTGACGACCTTAACTACACATTTTCGAACTGTTTCCAGAAGAGTAATAGGTCGAGTGTTCTTAAGTTGAGCATCAAATTCGTGAGGTTTAGGAATAGGATAAACCACAGCTTCACGCCAGTCAGCAGGAATATCACCGCGAGAAAGGCAGGTATTGGCCAGTAAAAGAGAGAAATCCAAGGCTTCACCGGACAGATGTTTAATCATCTCATAAGAAATTTTTGAAGGGCCGGAAGCTTTGTTATTTGGCATGGAGGAAATCACAGCAGACCATTCTTGTAGGGAAATAGGCGCCAAAACAGGATCATATAATGAAGCAGACACATTTGTAAGAGGAGTGTAAGCTTGTTGCCATCGGGCGGGAAATGAAGTGATGGAAGAATAGTGGACCAACGGAGGAGAAACAATTGATTGAAAATGAGAAACAGCCGCATGTTTAATATCCGAAGGATCCGTTAATAAAGTAGGAGTTGAGTCCAAAACGACCAGAACACGGTCAAGAACAATTGAACGTTTTTCTACTGATAAGGCAGAATCGATAAAGGTGCCGAGCGAGTTCGAAAAGTGTTCGTCACGTAGTGCAGTATAATATTCCACTGAGTCCGTAAGGTGTTGGGCGAATTTAGTAGATAAAAAGGCAGAAACTAAATTCTTCTGTGATCGTAAAAACGATTTAAATACAGATGCAGGGGTTGTAGAATAGGTAGGAACTGAGTAATCAGGGAGTAAGGATGCAAGATTTTCAAGAT